TCATTCAGCAGAAAAACAAAGAAGGGAGGGGATTTGTAGCAGATAAAAAGTAACAGAATGTGTACTAGTGCTTATAGACTGAGTTTTAGGAGATGAATGTCTTGGTGCACAACTATTTGTAATTAATGCTATTCACATATTGTAAAAAGTTAATTTCTCATATACCCATCACCAGCTATTATTAAAGTAGAAGAGTATTAAGACTTCAGCACATTAAGTGACAGTACAGCTTTCCATCACTTTTTCTTCTGAAATTCACAAAATAAGTTTCTTGTGTTTAGACAAGAGATTAAGCTTTAAAAAGCTCACTAAGCTTTGAAGAAAAAAAAAAACTTCAAAAAACTTAAACACACCCATTTTTAACTCTTCTGTCCTTGAGGAAAAAAATCTGAGACAACATTTTCATATTTCACGAGTCAAGTTGCTTGCTTTTTGTTAACTTTTCAACTCTAAAGATGAACAGAAGAAACCGTGTTTCTAGAAGTAGAGATAAGGACATTTTGAGTATTTACAAGGAGATAAGAAGAAAGGTTAATTCCTCATTTCGTCTGACAGTTTTTTTCCTTTCGCTTCAGTGCTTTTTGTGAGAGAGAAGAAAACTCTGTAGTGAGATAAGGTAGAGTCTTGGGAGAATTGAGAAGAGTTAACTTGTATATGTAAAAAAGTATCTCGTTCATTAGCTGTCCAAGCAAGCTCTGGAGCACTACTAACCACGGGCAAATGGGAGTGAATGTAAAACATAAGAAACATATAGAGGGTGAGCATGAAAGAAGATAAGTATGTGAAATAAAGCACTAACTTTTCATGTTTCCTGGCCTAATAAATTCCTGATTTCTCCAAGTACTGCGTGAAATGAGCTTCCAGTGAAACAGGGAAGCTACACTTCAAATTCAGATCATGCAGATCAGCTTGCATGAGAGATTTCAGGCCTGGTTTTAATCATCACAGTTTCTCTTGTCTAGTGAGGCTTTCCCCACCAGCTGTTATTGTATTGGTTTGAGTTTCTCTCCACAATTTAACAGAGCGCTCTTCTTTCTTTCACAGCACACTGATGAAATATAACTTCTAAAGGCAGAGAGCAGGGGAATTGTAAATGCTCATTTTCTTAAAAGAGCATATGTCAGGATAATTGCAACAGTTCTGATATAAAGAGTGAAAGAGTGAAAAAGGGTACATACTGACTACCATATGCAGACCTCTGTCCTGTGGTTAGCTGCATACTTCTGTGAAGCGCACAGGATTTCAGAAGCACATTCCTGTCTTTAGGGACCTTGCAGAAAATTGAGACCTGGGCTGCAAAGGTAAGCGCACAGGGCTGAAGTGAAATGCATGAGCACTTTGAGAAAATTCAGTGCAATTAAGCCTTCCCCTAGGTTGTTTTTCTGTTACCAGGTGGATATTGAAGGTCTCTCTCTTACAGTCTGTGGTACCCATAAAAAAACAAAGAAATACTTGAAAATACAGCTGCAATCTAAACCTAGATTGTAAGATAACAATATGTTTTCGTTGATGAAATACATCACTTTCCTCAGTGCTAAATAGAGTAACCATTATAATTTACTTCTAACCATGTCCTTTCTAGAAGACTCTTCTGAGTTTTGGAAAGCATGTTAAAGGAAGAAATCATCTATATACACAATTCATAAAATCAAAAGTGTCATATATTCAGATCTACCCAAAATTAATAAATAGAAATTAAGGTTTTTTTTTAAATATGCATTTATTCCAGTTATTTTTGGAATCCTAACTTAAAGTATTAAGATGTTTCTCATTTAAGACATTTTTCATATTTTGAATAGGCTTTAGAAGAAATGAGAGAAATGTTCTGAGAAAACATTTAGGCTAGTGAAATTAGAGAGATGGGTCTATTGCCTTTTCATTTCTGCTTAATTCTATACTGTTGGGTTTCTTACTATTTCTGGAGTAATAGTAAAGGATAAATACCTTACACAGGACCTTCATTTACAACTTCAGCTAGAGCTATTTTCTCTCCTCTGACATACTTCATTATAAAACCTTAGTTTTCAAGTATCTTGTCTCTCTAGAAAGCTGTTTCCAGTCCATCTCTCAGTTCCAGATGGAGTCCTGTTTCTGATAAATTCTGAACTATAACCTTGGCTTTTAGGAGAGGGAAAAAAAGTTAAGTTTATGGAGGAAACAATTTACAGATCTAATTAATTAAGGCAATACCTTTAAACTATTTTTTTTTTTTAAGTTGCAGTGATCTGTTTTTCTGAACTAATTTCAAAAAGGTGGGAGTGAATTCTCGCACTTATTGCTCCTCTCATAAAATCATGAATATCACCCCTCAGAGAGGGTTGTGGATTGAAGATAAAGTATTTCATTTTTCCACTTAGAAGGGTTTTTGTTTTGGTAGAGTTCTCTAAAGTAAGTCATATGTAACTGGGAATTAGATTAGCTCTAAATTACATACCAATTATGGAAGAATAGAAAGGCTCATAATGGATCGTACACCTTCTTGTTGTTGAAAAACAAAGTAATAACATAAAAAAAAGTCTAATAATGGCTATATACTCTGGGTCAGACAAAAAACTCCTTCCAGGCAAGTCTCTTGCCCCTGAGAAGAATATAAAAGAACAGTTATAGAGGGATTACTCAATTATTCTCTAGACTTCAACCATTTTCAGTTCGGAGATTTTCTGAGCTACATTTTGACTAAAATATTCACAAAACCTTGTTGAACAAGATGTGTCTTCCTTTTTTTTTTTTTCTTTTGGTGTTCTTTAATGGAATTTTTAAGTTTGTTTAGTCTTTTATTAAACTGCTATTTATATAGTAGTTTAACTGTATAAAACCATTAGCAACTACCACAGCTCTGGAAAGGAGAAATATTTTTCAGATACCTTTTATAAGAAGAACCACTTCCTTTGGAATTTGCCTCCTTTTAGCTTAATTCAGTGGTCTGTTGTTCTTGTATTGCAAGGTAGTACAGATAGTTGATCACTGTTTTGTCTCAATGATTTTGAAGACCAATACTACATTTCTTTCAATTGTTTTTTTTTGCAAAATAAAACTGCAAGCTGTGATCATCTATATCACTCTGTTGTTCTGGACTTTCTCCAGTTCTACAACCTTTTTTATCAGATGGATGCAGTGGATTTCTATGGTGGTAAAGTCAAAGCATAACAAGCAGGAACTGTTAGAGAAGAAGAGAAGTTAAAGGTGGTGGCAAAGAAAGTTATAATATCCTATCATAGTCTCCTCTATACCTTTCTCACATGTGGTAATATCTCTTTGACATGACCAGAGCATTTGGATTAGTTTCTCTGACCTTCAGACAAATAGCTAAACCAAACTTCTAAACATTCTGTGATTCATTAGTGGGATTGGAATTGTTTCGTTTATCTCAGAGGTCATAAGAAAGACCTTCAGAGATGGTATGCAACCCTATAGGTTATGATCTCTGGAGCAGTCATACCTGTAATGAGCTGTGTCTCTTCCTGCTGAGTATCCTGCAAACTGCCTGTTGAGAGGTTGTTTGGGTGTACTCAGCTACAGGAAAATATTGTAAATAGAGCCAAAGTGCTTCTTACTGCAGTGATGCTGGCCTAGCAATATTTGAGATATGTGTGTGTAATTTTTTTGGTTGTATCAAAAATGAACATGAAAGAACAGATTGCCTTTTCAGTAATGTGTACTGGGAGTATGCCTGCCTCATGTCCAAATATTCATCAGAATTTTTCTATTTAACTAAAAGGTTCCTGAAGATAGATAGAGTAAAGCTAAGCATATCCATTCTTTCTGCTAGTGTTCTTCCACCTATGCAAATACCTGCCTGGTGTTGTTATGCTGGCAGCTTTGCTTCTGCTGTTCTTAGCATATGTCATCTCACAACTTGAGGAATAAAAATGCAAAAAAAAAAAAGTCATACCTAAATGTCTGGCCTAAAAGCCACTCAACTAATCTCAGCTTTTTTTTCAGAGTTATTTACAACATTACCAAGTTCTAGAAAAAAATCAGATAAAAAAAACTTTATCTTTTTATAGGTAGTACCACTTTAAAATTGAAATACAGTGGCTAATATATATTTTCATAAACCAATTTATAATAAGCATTGAAAGCAAACTTGCCACTACCATAGGCAATTTTATAGTGATTGTATGGCTATTCAGAGTGTTTCAAAAATAACAGCAAAAATATATTACAGGAGCTTGTAATTATGACACACTCATTGTAAGCAGTATGGGGAGATTTACATATAGATTGTAGCTGAAAATGGTGACGGGCATATGAATGCTTTATAATGCTTATACAGTATTGCCTATTTAGCTTGTGTAATGTTCAATTATTTTAAGAAGGAAGATGCATATTTTTAGTAATTGTCATCATATTACTTGATTACAGGAAGCGTGTATTTTATGTGAAAGACAAACATAAGTATTCTGTAGAGGAAAAAGTACATGAAGAAAGATGAAGTGATTGTGATGCTCTCTTGTGAAGGGAATGTGGTTATTATGATCAGTTGATGGAGAAACTAGACCATAACTGGCTAAGCTAAGGAACTGTGCTTTACTCATTAGTATGATCTGATTTTCTAAAAACTTCTTGAAGCATAAATGTTCATGAATTTGCAGAAGTATAAATGGAACAATTTTTGCTACAGTAAGTATAAATATTAACCAGCTATTAAGCTAACTGGGGCAGAGAATTTAATCTAAAAAATCCTTATTAATATATCTTGATCTCAGAATGAAGCATTTATTTCAATATACCTCTTCAGTGGAAGATTTTTGCCACTGTAGGCGATGACAGCTACATTGCACATATTCACTGTAAATACATAGGCATTCCCAATAGTCTGCTAATGCTTCAATAACATATAAAAGGAAAAAACAGTTAAATACATCTTAATTTCTCTGCCAGTTTTCACCAGACTGGAGGGTGGAAATAGGTAGATGAGGTCAGAAGTTCAATGCTAAAAAAATTCCATGTGTGGTATAAGAGTGCAAATATTAACAGATACTTTATTTTTGTTGCAGGAGAAATATAACATTCTGTTGACTTGAAATGACAGCACCGAGTCACTAAGAAAATTGCCATCACAAGATGTCATCACTCTCCTACTGACCCACCTTCTTCTATGGCACAGGATCTGAATCACTGCCTCATCCACATGAAGCGTCTGTTGCCCTGTTAGCTGCTGAGAAGAACTATGGTAATAGCACCTTTAGTGAAATACCTTTTCCTTTTTTTCAACTGTAAGGATCTGGAATTTAAGAGATTTTAAGTGGTTCCCAGCTCAGAACTGCAGCCAGCAGATATTATTTTCTTCATGCATGCATATGGATTTCCAGATTCAAACATATTGCATATAATTTTATACACTTACCACATTTAACTCACAGCCATCTAGGTATCCTCTGCAGTCAGTAGACAGAAATGCATGCCTCCACAATGTTACTGAGATCTTAGTGGGACTAAACTGACCTTTGTTGATACCTATCCTGTTCCATTGCTGTAGATGAAAGAAAGAGCAAATAAGTCATGAATTTAGGCACTGTGTACTTTGCAAGAGATTAACCTCAACTTTAGTGACTAACTTTGCTCTGGATTTCATCAGGAGGATGAAACAATTGAACCCTGGTACAACTGATTTTAAATATTTAAATACTTTATTGGATTTTCTCTCAAGTCATTAGTGGGATAGCAACATATTCCCTGACATAGCATAATCCCTGACATCTCAAGCCAAGGAAATTTTTCTTTCACATTTTATTCCTGCAACACCTGACACTATTAATATGAACACATTTAACATATCAAGAAATGCATAGCTATCACATCAACTATTACATTTTGTTCCTTCTTCTGTTTCTTTCAGTGGAAAGCGGGGCAGTTCATTGTGATTCACTGAGACATTTATTAAGACCCTTAAAAGATGAGAGATGGGAGGCATCAGGATAAGTACTGTAGACTTCATGGCCAGAAATGCAATGAGGCTCTTGAGAATATTTCAGGACATTACTTTATTCATGAGCTAAAGACGGTGACTGCTGAGTGAACAGTGATCGTAATAGTGTACCCAATGGGTTTGAAGCCTCCTGCAAGAATATACTAAAACCTTTTAATATTCTCTCAGCTTGTAGCAAATCTCTTCATTACTGGGTGTATTAAATGAGTGTGAAGTGCATTCATCTAAAAATGTGTCTATCTAAAAATAATATTTTTTGGAAGAGCTACTTGGAGAATAGGAAAGGGGGAAGAAAAGAACCATATGCTTTGATAGCAAGTTATTTTACTTCATATGCGTTAGCAGAAGTGGAGGTGGCATAGATTTCTGTTTTAAAATAGGAAAGCAGTGTTGCAAGTTAAAGACATGTTGTCAGAAAATATGGTGAAAGAGAAGTTACCACAATACAACAGAGCTCTGAGAGAAAAACACCAAAGAATAGGAAACTATTGGAAATGGCAATTCTTGTCTGAACTCCTGCAAAGCAGAGTAAGATACATTTTGAACAATTCAGTTCTTCAGTTGATCTGGGAGAACTTTACTATCTATACATATAAAATTGAAAGTAAATTGAAGAGAACAATGGTTATTTAGCTTTCAAAAGACTATTTAATAATAATCAGAATTCTGGAGTAATGATCTTGGGCTATGTCTTTCTGACCACCATCCTCCTTGGTGTACCGTGATATACTGCTATTACCAGGATGTATTTTTTTCCTAATGGATTGTGTAAGACTTGGTTAGATGTGGATCACTGCAAACAGGGAGTTGCCGGGCTTCTTGATTTACTGGTATCTGTTCATAAGTAGACATCTCAGTTTGTGTGCTTTTAACCTAGAGAGAGCAATTAATCTGGTAACACAAATAAGATTCACTAAGACTGTCCTTTGTCTCAACAGATAAGCTCCACTTGGTCAAAAATTCTGGAAAGAGCCTGTTCTGTACTATTCTTTAACATCAGCTTTACAAAAAAAAAAAAAAAAAAAAAAAAAAAATATATATATATATATATATGCATTGCTGTTCTCTCCAGGATGGAAAAAATGGTGTCATTTTAACATTTTTCGTATCATCACTTACCTACTTAAATTTTGACAGCATGATGGGGTTTTTTTTTGCTTTCAGAATTGTTGGCATTCTTCAACTTGATAGCTCCAGTTATGTGCAGTTCAGAAACATGCAGAATTGTCAGTATTTTGGAATTATCAGATGATATCAATAAACTGACTATATGGCTGCCTCTGAGCTCCCTGCTAAGCAAAGCATATTTGTGGCACAGGTTGAAATATGGGCTAAGGATTTCATTTTCAGCACCTTCCTGTAGAACTCATCTGTTTCATTTACTCCTGAATATAAAGGGTATTTGTATTATTTGTTACTTGTGCAGCAGATTTGCAGTGTTAAGATGATGATATAAGGCTTTTTTTATGTTGCTGCATCTGTAGAGTGTTAGCTGTGCTGTCCCCCTAACTGGTGCATTTCTGCTGCCTTGCTGCCTGAAGAAATCCTCTGCCTGGTCTCCATGGCTGGCAGGGTGCCCCCATACAGACTACTATACAACTCAAACTTGTGTGTCGAACAAACTCCTGATATTTTAGAATTGTATAAACCTGCTCTGATGTTTCTATCACACTGGAAGTTGGTCTGCATACTAATAAGATAGACTGTCACTCAATGACTTTATGCTAATCTAAAAAAATTCGTTGATAGAGAAAGTGATGCAAAGAGGTTGATATCAGTCCAAAAAAAAAAAAAAGAAGTAATACTAAATTCCTGTAAATACCCATGGATGGGATCGAGGTTTGTCCCAGAATGTTGTATACTTGCATACATAGCATAGTTATGTTGCTATATATTCTAGCCTACCTAGAATAGTTTTCATGTACCCATACTGGGAGTGACAACACATTGCAAAAATAGTACAGAGTTTACATATTAATTTAGGCCTAGATCCTCAAAGATGTTTAAGTGACCACTTGCCAGTAGTCACTTATATAGAAATTAATTGTATTTGGGTTCTTTCCCTTAAAATAATTTCTTTTTGAGGTTGATTAAATACAGAATTCGAGTATGTTATTGATGTTCAACTTGCGTTGTTTCTGGAATAAGAACTTAATACACCAAGAAATAACATTGGCAACTATGGACGTGCAAAGTAAAGCTTATTTATCTGCAAAATTTCTACCCTAGAGTAGTCAGGAATAATTTAAATAGTGGATGCTTGAATTTCAGACCTATTACATAATATATTGCAGCTACTGTTAAGCCAGCAAGCCAAAACACTGCAGTGTTTGAGAGAACTTTTGTATCTTTGCATGAGGTTGCTGAGAAGTTAAAATTCATATCTTTCAGGAAATACCATCTTTTACAAAAATAACTCATCTGAATTTGAAAAAAAAAATCATAAATCAAATCTTAACACTCCAGGAGCAGGAAAAAAGTGATTATTTTTGTTTTGAGTCTATTTATATATTAAACTTCTTAAATATATTATTGATAAACAATTTTTTAATTACAACAACGAAATCTGAACTACAAAAACAACAAAGAACCTATGTCTTGATATCAATAAGGTGAGGGTTTTCTGGCTATATTATGGATAACTAGGAAAAAGGTTGATTTTAACAAATGATGTATTATTGTGGAAAAGAATATCATACAGTTTTCCTACTGAAAATACCTCAGACAACCTTTGCACTGACTGGCTCTACTTTACTAACATCTTACGCTTTCCTGAGTATAAGAATATAAGAATCTTCCTTTCACATAGGAGAATAAACATGGAATAAGTTCAGGCTACGAACATTGTTTTCCGGGCTACACTCATTTCAGAATTTTCATTTTAAGACAAAAAGCATGAAAAGCTTTCTGACTGATACTGGTTTAGAAAGATTATTTCTGACTTTAATTAGTTACTGCAAAAAAGGATGTCTTTAGTTAATTTTGGTTGTGCTCTTAAAAGATTTAGGTTAAAGAGCTTCCATTAATATTGAATTTATTTGTATTTTTAAATACTATACTACAGTTAGTTTAAAAGAAGTCTTTGAGGTGAAAATAGGAGAGTCAGAAAAGACCAAACTTTTCAGTGACTCTTGCCCTCACCCATTTTTCTTCACTGCAGTTTCCTGAGGTGTAAATAAATTGAGAATTGTCCCAAGAAACATCAGCTCCATGGCATCTATGGCCTTCTCTGGACTATTATATATCATTAAAAATGTGAATGCTTCGTTCTTAGGTAAGAGGCTTGAATATGCATTTGTTATTGGCTGGAGCATTTTTAGGAAAGGAAGGTTGGCCGATAAAATGTTGATTCAGCAGTGACAAACAGAAAAACAGATGTTGTTCACTTCGTCGTTGTAGCAGCAGTCAGGGAACATATGGAAATGAGAGTCTTAAATACACAAAGAAGTCAAAGGTGCAACCTTTCAGGAAAACATTTGACTTTTGATCTTCTCTCTCTCATAATTTAATGATGTATGTCTAGGAAAATCTCCTCTCTCTAAAAGTTATAGAGGACATTCATATTTTACTGTAGCAGATTTTTTACTGGATAAACAAAATTTACATTATGAGCGTCAGTATTTCCTGCAGCGCATTGCAAGTTTCGGTGTTCCGGGATTCTTCTTAATAGGAGGGAAGCATAAAATATTAAATGCATTGCAGTATTCATTTACCAGTGAGTATGTGTATTTCCAATAGGTAATGTTCAAAACTGATGTTGTTAAAAAATGCCTTAAACAAACTACTCTTATGAACCATTTGCTTGCACTTTGAATAATTTATTCCTTGTGTAAGGAAAGAATTGTTCACTGTCAATCACTGTATGTAATGTAACTTTTGAATTAAAATACAGTAAATAGCTTGGTGAACTTCAAGGATGTGCTAGTGGCACGTTGTATGATCCTTGGTTTTTTTTGTTTCTCAAGAGAGTAAGGGTCAGTTTACTGAACAGCAACGGCTTTATGTGGGTGTTTTCATTGACATGCAGGAATAAGGCCCTAATAGAAGAACTGAAAGAAAATTGAGAAAAAGTGATATCTTTTTTTACTTTGTCTTTTTTTAAATGTTTTATAGGATATTTCCTGCACAAATCTGAATGGATGCAATTCACTGAGTGTTTTCTTCTGAAGAAGATATTTGAAGGAGGAGCTTGCACAACTGTAAGGTCATCATCATTGTCATGTTCCCTGCTTCAGGTATAATAGACAATATGAAGAACATGTTTCTTGTTAATAGCTTTTAATGATACAGCTCTCATGGTCCAAGTAAGAAGTTTTGTACAAAATGTCAAAACAGGAAGTATGTAATGCCTGGCTGCCCGCAAGTTTGAGGTTTGGAGATCTTTGCATCTCCATGTGTGGCTCGGCACATCTGGCCTTTGTTAGTAGTCTGTAGAGACTCCCAATTCATTTCTCCTGGAGTCTTACATTACAAATAAATTATTTCTTAATTATAACCAAGTTCTCAGGCAATTCATTTCCTATTTCATAAGGAATTTTGAGAAGATCTATTGAATTGACTTACCTAGTAAGGAGCAAGTTCACACACACACACACACACACACACACACACACATGAATACACCTTTGTATACTGGAAATCAGATTAAACATCAAATTTGGGAGTAAAGTCATCACTAGTATGAATGAGTTCTTGTGTCCTCTATAGAGTTTGAACCAAATGAAATTAATGATATGTCCCCATTTTAGATAACATCATTTTACAGTGAATAACTAAACATTTTGCAAGATTTTTCTTCATATTACAAAATGAAATTTGCTAATAGTTGAGCTAGCATATGATAGATAAAGTTTGTCTTGGTTTTTGTATTGCTCTTTAATTGATTTACTAATAAATAGAGATTTCTTCTGCTTACGTGTCTTAAAGTCTCTTCTAGCATAGCTAAGAACAGGTATCTCTCCGTATACAAGGCGTGTTTTATGAGTGAAATAGTGTGAAATATAATCCATCTCTTGTTATGGTATAATAATTTATTTGTCTGTTTGGTTAGTAACAACAAGTGAAATTCCTTTGAAGATAGGTGACAATTTGCATGAATTTGCAGAGATGACAATTTGGGACCTAACATAAGAAAAGAATTTGATGATGGCAGCAGTTCCCTGAATCCAGAATAATACAACAGTGATTCTAGGAGAGCTGATAAAAGCTATTATTTTTTTACATTGCTGTTGGTTGTATTCCAAGTTAGCTCATCAATCACACATGTTTACAGTCTGAATAATATTAAGCAATCATCTGACATCTCATTTTATCCTAAAGTGAAGGAGTGACCCTGTTTTGTCTAGTGAGTGATGAGGAAGATAACAAAGCAACAGCACTCTTTGCTGTGTATAGCTCTACCTGCATGTGATGTTACACACCCTTGTTAACACACAGCTAACCTGTCCAAGTCTCTGCTCATCTACCACAGATCTGTCAAACAAAGCTGTGACTATCAGGAAACATTTCTGTCCACACACTCTGCAAATCAGGTCCTTCTGTGAGATGAATTTTCTCCTCAAGAAGTATGCATTTTCTCATTCAAATATTGCAGTAGAACTACTGGTTGAAGATAAATGATTTCTGAAATGTTCATCTTTATCTCACCTTCTTCATCACACCATACTACCAAGCCCTCAAAGCCAATGGAAATACTTAGCAGCTAGTCACATCTGCTATCTATTTAGCCATCTTAAAATTCATGAGTTATAGTTGCAGTCAAGTTATACTAGAAGTAGTTCCTTCATATGTGGTTCACAATTTAATCATAAGGAAGCATTTCTTGGGAAATACACATTTGCCTCACAGTTATTTTAATTGAGGGATGACTTATTTTCCTTACCATCTTCCTTCTTCACTTTTTTACAGGAATTACTTTAATAACATACTCTTTTTTACATAAAATGAAAATAAAGCAAAGGAAAAGATATTAATAAAACAGTATTTCATTTTGAAGTAGGAAAAAAAACATTATTTTTTTCTTAAGACTTCCTATTTTTACTTTCCTATTTGCAAAGTATTTTTTCCCCAGTATATGCAGATATCTGTCATATGCAATGAAATTGTTACTGATTCTTTCACAAAGAAATATATCCGGTATCTTGTGACTCAAAATTTCTGCTTCAGGTTAAAATCAGAATATTGTAGAAAGTGCAGATTTGCTTCTGATTCTCAGGCGAAATCCCACAGATTTCTGTTTTGCCATGTATTTAAACTGATGAATGTCAGTTCTTGGTACTTTGTCAGATAGAAGATTCTAGAAAGTGGATTAATGTTTCTAGAATATCAGAATTAGAAATGACTGTTGTCCTTACCTCTTTTTTTTTTTTTTTTTTTTGATAAATTTTCCCCCATCTCTGTATCTGAAAATTATTCCCACAGGCTCTTCAACTGATGGCTCATGCTAAACAATAACCTTGTTGCACCTACTCCAGAACAAATGCCAGTTTGAAATAACAGTTGTATGGGGACAAACTGAGTTTTCAAATTTACTAGAAAATGTGAATTTCTGAATATCTGAATGATACTGGGAACTTGTATATCCAGTTCTTCTATTATCATCTTGATATTGGATGGCATTGGTTACGGCAATTTTGTAGACAAGTGACTCTTTAACAGTGTGTCTTTATACAATAGAAATTTGTGCCCATGTACTCTTATTAAATGGACAGATGATCATTTATCTAGGAGAACAATGGAAAGAAAAAGTGCAAGTGAGAAACTGTAAATAAAGATCAATTAAATGTATTTAAAATTCATTTTGGTCTACAAAGATAATTATCCTTAGAAATACATGATATACAAAGGGGTTTGAGGGGTTTATATTTGTGGGGTTCATCTGCTGGAATGTTGGAATGTGCATCTGTAAAAGATAGTTCCAGCTCCCCTTAAAGGCAGTTAAAAGGTTCATGGTACAGCTAACCACATGTAAGGTTTGATTCGTCCTTAAGTATATACTTGCTTAAGACAGATGACTTATTTCCTAAACTCCCCTGCCTCTGTGAAACTGGATCTCTGTTGATTGTAATGGGACACAGTGAACCTAGTTCAGATATAAAACACCCATATTCCAGATGTCTGAGGTTAAATGAGATGAATGCCATTATATCAGAATGACTCAAATTGTCTAGGGGGAAAAAAGTAGTACAGAAAGGGGAATGCACCAAAGATTTAACTAAAGACTTTTCTACAGATTGGGAATTCATTGCAAATAGAACAATAAAACTAATCACCTTTAAACCTGAGGCTGATAGGTATGTGAAAGGAATTGCAGAAAACATTGTGGAGAGAGCCGAGAGTAGGACTGGACATAGTATATCCTTTCCTGTCCTATATTGTATTGAAATAGACCCAGAGAAATTGGGTCAGAGTTACAGTAAGTGTAGGTTAGAGTTTTCTCCAATACTTATTCAAAGCTTGCAATTTTCAGATGGAGGAAGAAAAAAAAAACAAAAAACAAAAAACAACAACAAAAAAAACACCTGCAAGTAAATTTAGACCAAGAATATGCAGATACTGTAAATGCAAGAGTTATAGCACAACCAATGAATGCAATATTTTAGCCTGAGTAATATTCATGGAAAAGGGTTGGGTTTTTCTTGTTTTGTTTTCTTTTCTTTTTAAGAAATATATTTATGTGTGCATTAGTTGACTACCCTTATGATTTTCATCTTGATTGTTGTTTTTCATTCCTTATCGGAACTGGTCAGATAAGAAAAATATCCTTCATGAATATTTTTATGAATAAACAGAATGTTGCTATGATGTTGGTCTATGCACCTTATTACATATTATTTAACAGTATTCTGACAACTGACACTTTGTTCATGAAAATGAGTGCAAATCCCAAAAGCATAAATCAGCGTTGCTGCTCATCCAAAAATGAAAATCAGAAATATAGTTTGCATTATTCACTGGTTGTCATTTGTTGAATTCCTGTCTAAGAAGATTTCAGATATCCTTTGGGTTCCAAAAGCAATCCTGTGAGACTCAAATAAAAGATAAATGTAGTGAAGAAATAGCTGAAGTGAACTGATTTTTCTGAAATATAGAAGACTACATACTGTATAAATAAAGTGCTAAAGTATTCATAGTATAAGTAACTATAGTCTTGATCTAAGCTCAAAGAGTTATGGAGGTAAATGGGACATTTTACACGGTTAAAGTGAAATGTGAAAAACATTTTTGACTGCCTTGCTGGCTTGTAAAAAAACATTTTTACAGATTCTGGCCTGATGATCCTGGCATTAGTAAACAAGGGTGAGAAGGCCAAGACAAGGAGGAGATATTTGTTATGGAGAATTCTTATTTTTTGCATACACCAACTCTACCAACTGGAAATACATACTGAGATGGGCTGGAGGTGAACTGAACTAAAGCTACTATTTATAACAAAAAAATCCGAGATGTTAAGTATTTGAACAAATACAAATATAGAAAACCTTTTCTGGTATAACCTTTTGTTTTACCCTTTACCACGCCTGGTGGTGGTTTCCTGCACTCCAAAACAAGCTTTCTGGCTATTTCCTTTGATTCCTCTATCTCTAGTACCTCTGTTCCAGCTGCCTACTCATCTTTGCTAGAGCTCTTAGTTGTGATAATGCCTCTTTTTTAGATAAATATTTCACAGATTTATTATTCTTTGTGAAACAGGACTTTTAAAAACCTATATACTAGCATTTTGTTCTCTAATTCCTTAATTTTTAAGAGAAATCCCTTTAATGTCTGTTTCTTGATCTTTAAATGTAAGGGTTGGTCTTGAATTTGATTTAATCTCCATTATAACTTTATAAACCTTGCATGGATTGCTTTGATGTTCCCTTGCCTCCAGTGAGCAGACGTTTAGTTTTTTTCAGTCTTTTTCATAATACAAATCTTTGAAGCTTGCTATCATTTTGGTTGCGGTAGGATGTACTCAATCAGCAGCAATTACACTGCTTCCAAGGTATTGTGCCTGGGCAGTAGGAAAGTACTATGTTTTAGTTGATTTCCATTGCATTTCCTCACTTGCAATGTAAGGCATGAGCACTTCACATTTCTTTTTCCTGGAAAAATCTTTTCCTGAGCCTTTTTCTATAATAGACATTAAAGTCAACTCCAATCCCCTAGTCATATGTAAAAGGATAAAAAAAAAGGTTGCTTATAATACTAAACAGATTTTTGATGTCTTTTTTTTTAGAACAGGAGGACTAAGCTTTTTTTTATTTGATATATATATCTTTGAATCATTGGAACAGCTCATCTTGGGAAGAGGTAAATTCAGTTGTACTTGAAATCTGTCATTACATCTGTGCTTTATGCTAAGTTTAGGCTTAAATAATTTTCCCTCTTTACTTCTATCATCAACTTCTTCTCCCCTTCACTTTTAAGGATATTTGTTGGAAAACAGTCCAAGCAGCTGAATGCCAGTCAGTTTA